AGATGAGAGAGAATCTCCTGGGATAAAGAAGAGAGCCCATGAAACCCAGACTTATTGAACTATACCAAATTATATTTTAAAGTCTAGTTTTCAAATCAGCACTATTCAAGGCAATTCAGAGACTACCAAAAAGAACTACATGGTACAATATTGTTTTTCAAGAAGCACAAAGTCTATTCTAGAACAGAGAAGACTTCACATGCCCTTGGTGTAAATGTTAGTTTGGGTGTCCCTAAAGTTAAGTGCTCTGAGTGTTCAGAGGAGAAAGTGTGGTGTAGGTGGGGCTGCCTGGGCCTCGAAGGATGGGTAGAATTTGGAAAGTGATACTGGGCTCCCCCTATACTGTCCCTCTCATAAACAGCAGATTTGCAGTGAATCGTCACGAACTGCATGCTACCATGCAAAAGAGAAGCTCACAGTCAGTGCTGAAAAATACTAGGGATTCCCCATCACCTCACTCAGAGGCCAGCTAAGAAACTGAAACTGGAGTCTCCTGGGACCAATCGTGCAACATCCAAGCAGCTAGAATTGGGGGGTCGGAGGACAGTCGAGGGAGGAATCCGGTCTGGGTTGGACAACTCCACTTATCATCAAGCTCAGGCTGCTGAGGAAATCAGAACCAAGAAGTACCCCTTTATCCCCTTGACAACCTGGCACATCTGCCACAAACTCTCCAGTCCTAACCTGTTCATAGACTCTTCTCCATCTGGGACCTCCTGTGGGGTCCATGCTAGCTAAAGAACCGAGAAAATTCTCATGGATAACAAATATTATCTTGAGAAAGAAGCCTGGACCTTGTAGGCTCTAATCCTATTGCTTTTCAGATGGGCATCCAAGAACCAGAGAGAAGTGACTTGCCCAAGGTCACCTGCGAGTCATAGGAGAGGCAGGACTGAAACACAGACAGTCCTGACTTTAAGCTTTTATTTTTATTTTTATTTTTGTTTTTATTTTTTTAGACAGGGTCTCACTCTGTCACTTCTACATTGCACCCTGGCCTAGAGTGCAGTGGCACGATCATAGCTCACTGCAGCCTCAAACTCCTGGGTTCCAACAATCCTCCTACCTCAGCCTCCCAAGTAGCTACAGCTGTAGGTGCTACATTCTGATGCCTACTTTTTTCATTGCAGTGATCTCAGCCTTACTCCAGTTCCAAACCCTTGCTGGAGAGAGGCTGCAGTCACCTGGAGGGAAGAGAGCACTTTGGATTTTTGAGTTTGTAGTGTTTTTATGCTGATTCTTTCTTATCTTTGTGTGCTTATGTACCTTTGATCTTTGAAGTTGCTGACCTTTTGGATGAGGTTGTGGGGTTTCTTTTGTTTTTCTTTTAACAGTCTAGCCACTTTTCCATAAAGCTGCTGTGGTTTGCTGGGGGTCCACTGCAGACCCTAGTCACCTTGGATTTTTCAGTACCTGGAGGTATCGTGAGTGAAGGCTGTGAAACAGCAAAGATGGCTTCCCCTGGGAGCTCCGTCCTTCCCCTGGGAGCTCCGTCCTTCCCCTGGGAGCTCCGTCCTTCCCCTGGGAGCTCTGTCCCAGGGAGGTATGAACCTGTTGCTGGCCTAAATGCACCTGTAGGAGGTGGCTGAAGACCCCATTCTGGAGATCTCACCCAGCCAGGAGGAACAGGATTGGGGAGCGACTGAAGGAAGCAATCTCACCACACTTTTATAGAGCAGCTGTGCTGTGCTGTGCTGGGCGCCGCTTCCATCCCCAGTTGGCTTGGGATTTCCAAAGCCTGGACACTGGTATGGGCTGAGTTGCCAAAACAGCAGATGGCAGCCTGCCCCTGCCCCTAGGAGCTGTGTCCCAGGAAGCTTTCAAATCTCTGTCTGCCAGAGAATCTCGACAGGAGTGACTAGAGGCTGCAGTTGGGAGGTCCTGCCCAGTGAGAAGGAATGGGTCAGGGACCCTCTTACAGAAGCACTGTGGCCACATTTCGGTAAATCAGCTGTGCTATGTTGGGAGATCTCTTCAGCCCCCTGTTGGTTCGGGCTCTCCAAAGCCAGAAGGCTGGAATGGCTGTGATCCCCAAACAGCAAAGGTGGCAGCCCGCAACCTCCTCCAGGCACCCTGTCCCAGGGGGAAGATCAGAACGTTATGGGCTGTAGAATACGGGCAGAGCTGGCTGGAGGCCTTGTTTGGAAAGACCCACGCAGTGAGGAGTGATGGATAGGAGTACTGCTTAAAGAAGCAATCTGGCACATTGGCAGAGCAGCTGTGCTGTGCCAGGGTATCCTTTCCACACCTGGTGGGTTTGGACTCCCCAAAGCCTGCAGCTGGAACAGCTGAGTCATCCAAACAGCTAAGGTGATGCCCCTCACAACCACCCCACCCACCGCCAGAGCTCCACCTTGTCTCAGGTAGGTGCTACACCATTGCCTGTGGCTGGCTGGAATTCCAAGCCAGTTGATCTTATCCGGTGAGGTGCTGTGGAAGTGGAGCCGGTGGACCAATGCTGCTCAGCCCCCTGGATTTAGCTTCCTTCCTCGGGGTATGTATAGACCTCCTGCTTTGCCTAAGTTGCAGCCATCTTTGAAGGGGTCCTGGAGCCTGAGTATGTAAAGCTCCCGGGTCTCGGTGCACGCCTGAGCAGCTGCTCTGCCAAGACTCCAAGGCAGCTCTGTGTATCACACCCAAGGCCCTGGTAGAGTGGGTTCACAAGCAGATCTCCCGATCCAAAGATTGCAAAGATCAGTGGCAGAAGCATCATTCCCAGGGTTTGCATATTCACTCACTGCTTCCCTGGTGCGGGGAGGGGAGGAGGTTCCCTTGGGTCTGTGTTGCTCCTGTGTGGGCCATTGCCCTGCTCTGCTTTTCTCTGTCCTCTGTGGGTCAAGCTGATTTTTAAATCAGTCCCAATGCAAGTATCTGGATGTTTCACATGAAGGTGCTGTACATACTCACTCCTTCGTTCCTCTCTGAGAGAGCCATGCCCCATACCTGCTTCTAGTTGGCCATCTTTGAAAATAAAATTAAGAAAACAATTTCATTTACAATTTACAAATGAATTTACAATTCATTTCATTTATCCAAAAGAATAAAATACTAAAGAATGAATTTAAGAAAGAAGTGAAAGCCTTGCAGCCTAAAAAGTACAAAGAAATTAAGAAAGACCTAAATAAATGAAAAATCATCCCATGTTCATGGACAAAAAGACTTTGTTAATTGATCCCTAAATTGATCTACAGACTCAATGCAATCCCTATCAGAATCCCACATGTTTTCATTGCAGAAATTGTTAAGCTGACCCCAAAATTCACATGGAAAAGAAAGAGACCTAGATTAGCCAAACAACCCTTAAAAAACAGATAAAGTTGGAGCTATATATATATATATATATAGCCAATAAGCACATGAAAAGATGCTCAACATCAGTAGTCATTAGGAAACTGCATATCAAAACCACAGTGAGGCCGGGCGTGGTAACTCACACCTGTAATCCCAGCACTTTGGGAGGCCAAGGCAGGCAGACCACCTGAGGTCAGGAGTTTGAAACCAGCCTGGCCAACACGGTGAAGCCCCATCTCTACTAAAAATACAAAAATTAGCCGGGCATGGTGTCATGCGCCTGTAGTCCCAGCTACTCGGGAGGCTGAGGCAGGAGAATCACTTGAACCCAGGAGGTAGAGATGGCAGTAAGCCAAGATTGTGCCACTGCATTCCAGCCTGGGCAACAGAGCAAGACTCTGTCTCAAAAAGAGAAAAAAAACACACATTGAGATACCACTTTATAGCCACTAGGATGGCTAGAATCAAAAGAATGGACAATAATTAAGTTGTGTTGACAATGTGGAACCGTCACGCATTGTCGATGGGAACATAAAATAGTGCAGTCACTTTGAAAAACAGTTTGATACTTGTTCAAAATGTTAAATACATAATTACCATATGACTCAACAATCACTTCTAGACATATACCCAAGAGAAATAAAGCATATGTCCACACAAAAACTTGTACACAAATATTTATAGCAGCATCATTCATAATAGCTAAAAAGGGGAAACAGCCCAACTGTCCAACTGATGACAGATAAACAAAATGTTTCATATCCATACAATGGAATATTATTCAGCCATAAAAAAGGAATGGGGAATGGATCCAGGCTACCACATGGGTAAACCTTGAAAACATACTAACTGAAAGAAGCCAGATGTGAAGGTCACATAGTGAATACTTCTATTTATGTGAAATGTTCAGAATCGGAAAATCTATAGTGCCAGAAGGTAGATTTTTGGTTGCCAGGGGCTTTTAATGACAGGAGTGGAAGGGAGGGGGGCGGTCACTGCTAGTGGTTACAGGGTTCTTGAGTGGGAGTGAGAAAAACTTTTCAAAAATGTATTGTGGTGATGATTGCGTAACTCTGAATATACAAAAACCATTGAATTCTACACTTTAAAGCGTAAATTCTACGGTATGTGGATTATAGCTCAATAAAGCTGTCATTAAGAAAGGAAAGGGGAGGGAAGGGAGGAAGGGAAGGGAGGAGAGGGGAGGGGAGAGGGGGAGGTGAGGGGAGGGGAGAAAAAAGATACATCCTGGCCTATCTCTTCCCTTAGACCTGTCACTATGTGTCAGCACCGCCCATTGGCCTAACCTACCCAGAAGCCAGAGAAAAAGCCATTTGGGACTATATTCCATTGTGACACCGAACAGAGCAAGGGAAGGATGGGGACACTTCTCTCACCCATCTCTGACTCCCCAACATCTAACCCCTGGCCTGGCATGTGATATTGATGCTACAAATATTTGTTGAATCAACAAATGACCCCTCATCTAGGTTCTGCCAAGCGGCACACGGGGCTTTTTGAATGTAAATGACATGATGATTCAGGATCCTGTGACCAGTGACTGTCATCCTCCGTCACCTTTCACTTGCCCCTTTATCTCTAAAGGCACTGAAGGTGCCCTGCATGAATCTTGGAGAGCTGGAGGGAGGAGCAAGAGTGGGAGGGGCAGGGAAGAGATTGGCTCACTGCACTACTTAAAAGGGGCTCGAACCACTTCCTCCCCAGACAGAGGGAGCGAGGCCGGGCACAGCCTTCCTGTGTGGTTTTTACCGCCCAGAAAGCGTCATGGACCTGGGTGAGTGAGCCTCCTCATGTGAGAAGGAACAGTATCAGGGTCTTGGACACCCAGACTGACCCTGTGGAATGGGGGTGGAGGAGGTGGGTGGAGCGCATAGGGGTGCTTCCTGGAGAAATCAGGTCTGATTTGGTGGGCATTGGAAGCTACTTCCAGAGAATGCTGCCTGCTGTCCCAGGAGGGGTGCACCTACGCTTTCAGACCTGGGAAAGTGGGCAGACTTTGGTGCCAGGAAGGACAACGGAGGGGCCGAAGGCATGTCTTTCTAAAATAGCAGGGACACAAGAGAGAGACGGGGCTGGGCTTGGTGGTCTGGGCAGAATCTGTTCTCATCATGAGGGTGATAGGTGAGTCCCTCTGGGACCTCTGGAGACAGGTTTCAACAGAGAAATTCTCCCTAGAGAGCTTAGGACCTTCTACTCACTCTCTGATTCCCACCATTCTCCCCTGCTAAATAGAGATTTGTATCCCTGTCCACCTGGGGTCATGAGGAGATGCCAATTAACGGTGACTGGGTAGTGAGAGTGGAACGCTGCCATGCAGGTGCATGCCGTGCTTGCTTTCTCTTTGATGCACACCCTGCCAGCTTCGCTCTGGCTTTGCTGTTGCCTCTTGCAAGTTAAGGAGCAGGCGGGCACTATGGTGTGGAATGGCAAAGGGTACTCAGCTTGGAGAGATCACAGCCAGACCTTCAGCACAGCTCCTGCCCCTGACCAAAACTTCACACACTCCACCCCTGCAGACAACTCTGCTCTTTAGAAAGCCCTTTCTCGGATCTTACCTCCATCTTGGCTAGAAGGGGTCCAGGAGAAGCACCGAAGGTGTTCTGAGTGGTTCATGCAGCTCTAGATACCCCCTTTATAAATCTCAGCTGTGGAGCCAGACGAGACTGAGGCTAAGAAGACCAGGTTCCTAGATGGCTTGTCTTACCAGCAAGCAATGCACCACGGCGGCCTCAAAGCCGCAAGGGGTTGGCTTTAAAAAGTGAAGGTTCCCTGGTGTTGTCCTCACACCCCTCCCCGCCACACCACAGCCTCCTTGACTTCATCTCTTCCTTCCTTGCCTGTCCCGAACCCTGGATCTGGATCCAGCAAACAGCTGTGAAAGGGTTAAAGTGGTCACCCCACCTACTGACTGTGAACTCAGGCAGCTTCAGGTGCTTTGAGGATATGAGCAGAAAATGTTTGTGGAATGAATGAATCCATCGTATCAAGAACTCAGTAGAGTTTAGTTTTTGAAAATCTCTTCCAAATGCCTCATTTCCCAGCCAACTTGCGCTTAAATCCCATTCCCCAATGGTCACAATCCCAGAGTGTAGACGTCGTCCACAGAAGACCCTGCTCCAGCCTTTCATATTGGCCTCCGGGAAGGAAACCAAGCAGTGCGCAGTGGTGTGCTGCTGAGCATTTGAAAAGCAGCTCCCAGGGGCGGAGCATTGGTAGCTGCCTCCAGGCTGGAGGGAAAGTCCTGAATTTGTAGTGCTTGCCAATTTCCATGGTGTAAATTCTCCTGCCCTGGCTGATTGATTTCAAGCCATCCACATGACAGATCAGGGAGTTGGGAAGATGTGCACAGTGTCTTGCCCCTAGACTAGGTTTGGGGGTGCTAGACTCCTAGGCTTTGATGCCGGGAGGGAGGGTAATCTCCGGTCCAGGAGGAAGGGGTATTCTTGCTACTTCACTCAACTCGAGAGAGCCCCAACCGTCAAACCCGAAATACTGGTAGGAGGGGAAGCCGCTGAGAGCTTTGCTCAAAAGGGGCTCTGTCTGGCCGTTGATGGGGTGGATGGGTCTGTTGTTCTGCTCTTCATCTGCCCAGCAGGGAGTAAGAGGTGGGTGAGGAGGCAGGGTTTCTGTTACACAAAATGAAAACTCCAAAGCAGGGCTGAGCTGGCCTTTTTCACGGTTTGAATGAGCAGCTCCGAGGCGCCCTCCCCACTTTCGAGCAATGAGACCAAACATCTTTCAGAATTATCATAAGCAAAGCAAGGAAAAATGAACCCATGAGGGACATGTATCTCACAGCTCAGACATAAATGGCGGCAGAGGGAGAGGCTGAAGCTAATTCAGGGCCAGTTTCTTGCCTTCCAGAAACCTGGCTGGGGAGGAGAAGGATGTTGCAGCCTGGGGTCACTGTTGGAAAACATCTCTCCTCTTTGCTTGGGACTGTCAGTCAACTCTCACTGTGGAGGGATTCAGGGATGACCAGTGTTGTGAGGAGAGTGACACATAGGTCACAAAGCCCCTGCAACAGAGTGAGATACAGCATTGACTGGGGCAAGGGCAAGACAAGAAGGGAATTGTGAACCTGGGTCAGAGAGAGATTTAAGGTGGGTTTTGAAGGGTGTGTAGGAGTTGTCAAACCAAACAAGGAGCCACAGGGGGCCCAGGTTGTGGCAGGAATGGCAAACTCCATTGCCATCAGAGGCTGACAAGGTAAAAGAAGGAAGAGGTGTAAGATGCAGGAAGTAGAGGGGAGCAGAGTGACCCAGAGGATGCATGCTCCACCTAAAGATATCCAAATCCATTATTTCGGTGTCCTGGGGACTAAGGCTCTGCAGCCTTAGTGTAGCTGGTCAGCTGAGACAACAGTAACAGACAAGAAAGAAGCAAGTGGAGGGGAGGGTGGAGAAGCTGGCCATGCCGAGGAGGAAGATGGGGAGGAAGGACGCGGGCAGCGGAGAGCCAATCCTTAAAACTAGTACCGTATCCCTAAGGAATTTAGACTTTATCCTGAAAGCAATGGGCAACCATCGAAGATTTCTATTTTTCAAGTAGGTGAATTAAAGGATAAATTTGTGTTTGGGAAGGAGTTCTATGGCAGCAAAGTGGCAGCAAAGCCCTGCGTCAGAACAGAGGTGGGGCCAGCTCTGAGGGATGCTGGGGATGGAAGCAGTAGTACCTGGGGGCCAGTGACACGTGGGGAGTGAGGATTCCCTTCATGCTCCATGGAGCACCCTAAACACACAGACTCACAGAAATGCAACCTGATGCAGTAGCGAGAGCCGAAACCTTGCTGTCCTGTTCAAGTCTCAGGTCCCTCTCTTAGCAGCTGTGTGGCCCCAGGCGTTTGGTTTAATCTCTCTGGGCCTCTAGTTTCTGGAATACAGAGTGAGGATCACCAAGGGTAGCATACGAGATCCTATGAGGAAGTGATACATAGAAACAGTGGCAGAACAGAAGGATGGTTAGGAGTGTGGTTTCTTTTTGGATGGTGTATCTTTTCCCATCACGAGGATGTGTCTTTTTCTCTCTGCTTTCATTGGCTCCACTGCTGGCCATTGTGTGACTCTCAGAAAGTTGCTTGCTGTGTTTCAGTTTCCTCATCGTAAATGGGGATAATAGTAGCGCCTACCTCATGGGGCTTTAGAGAAGACGAAATGAGACCATCCGTGTGGACAGTTTGGCGCACAGTGAGAGCTCGGCGAATATCAGTGTTCTCACTGGATACGGTAGTTGATAATATGGAAACTGCAAGATCCATCCAGCTCTCACCCATCCCTGCCTGCTGTCTGAAATGGGATTCCCAGATCTCCAGATCTCTCAGCACCTCCCTGTTTCTCCTCTCTCTCCCCTATCCAACAAAGACAAAAGAGAGAAGTGGTGTTGGCAAGCAAGGAAGTTCAGAGAGGAGAAAGCTTGGGGTAGCTCTTGGGGCGAGCTGATTGGGCAACTGTGATTTCCTGGGCAGCCTGGAAGACCTAGAAAATTGTGGGAATGGAAGTTCAGGGTTTGGGGGTGGGGGCAGCCAGCCAGCCAACAGTTCTCTTCTCCTCGATGAAGAGTCTCTCATGCTGTGGGCTCAGGTTGGAATTGTAGGGAATTTTCATGATGATTATTACTGAAAACTCAAGAACTCAGAAAACACCCAACATCTAGGTCAACCACTCCTTTGCCCCAGAGATTTCCAACTTCACTGGTCTCACCCAAGCTGCTGCCCAAGGCCAGTTGCTTTATGACTTTGTAACAGACAGGAATGATCTGACTCATGGCCACTGACCAGGCTCCCTTTTGCAACATGCCAGAGTTCCCCTAAGTTTCCCTGTGATCTTTCTTGAAGACCATCTGTTCTGGACCTACAAGCCCCCTGCTCATCCACCACCTCCAACACACCTGGAATGAGGAATCACCGGCACACATGCCAGCACTCCCCCAGTCCCCCTCTCCTGGGGAGCAGCAGAAGTGGGACAGCACCAAGGAGAAGGGGTCATCAACACAGATCTCAACCATTGTGACTTTCAAAACTTTGAGGTTTCTCATTTCTCCCTGACAGTCAGAGCGGGCTTTCTCTAGAGTAACCGAAAGACATTTACGTGTTTAAAGAAACCTCGAGACTCAACGTCTAGATGAGTCAGTGGAGGGCAGGTGGAGCGCTGAACCCTGAAGAGTGTAGCTGGGCGTAAACATGTGGACTGAGACTCAGGAGCTTAGGGGCAACTCAGCGAGAAAGGGGAATTAGGGGTGCAGTGGGGAGCTCTGTTGCAACAGGATCTAATCCCAGCAGGACTGCAAGTGCCCAGCGCAGGCTGGGAACAAGGGGACAGTGGCTGCATGTCCCCAGAACAGAAAATGCAGCTAGGAAGCCCACTTTGAGCAGACAGTGGAGGACTGGACTGCCAAGCCAAGCATCAGGGGCTTCATCCTCAGAGCTGGTGGATGAAGGTGAGGTGGGATTGGATCAGAGCTAAGCTTCAGGAGGATGTGTCCAGCAGTAGTGTGCAGGATAATTTGCTCAAGGAAGGAGAAATACCTATTTATTTATGTAGCCTGATGCAGTCTCTCCTTCCTGGAGGAACTCCCAAGCCCACAATCCCCCCGGCTTTACACACTTTCCTGGGAACACATTCACCAACTGCAACCTGGGTGCCATGCAGCAAAGCCTCCAGCAGGTGGTGCTGTGGCCAAAGACACGGAAGCACTGGGCTCTTGCTGCTTCCCCAGCCTCCGTAGGGCCCCTGGCCTCCAGAAAATGCCTTAAACGGGTTCCCACGCATTCCCTGACCCTCTTGAGCTTGGAGCTGCCACGGGCCTGCCTTCACTTGTGGCATCTAAGTTACTGACTCTCCAGTGGGCCAGGCCCTAGCTGGGACCCGAGGGTCAGGCTACAGGAAGAGGGCTACCTCCGCGCTGACTTGTAGGTAAGCTAAGACACCTACGCAGATTACTCCATCATCTGTCCTCCCTGCCCAGCCTCAGGAATAAATAAGTTTCTGCTGGGCCCGAGGCTCAGACACAAAACCAAACCGAGCACTTCCAGGCCTTGTGCTAGGATAGGGTCTCTACCTGTTGCTCAGACCCCAGAAAGCCTCCTGACTCCCAGAACACATCCCTTCCCCATTCCCCCTTCCACCTGCCCCCCAAGCCTAGGCTAGAAAACAAGTTAAAGGAGAGAAAGTGAGTGTAGGCAGGCACTTCAGTTAAGCAAAAAAAAAGTCATCCGTCCCCTGCACTGCACAGGGCAGCTCCCGTCTGTGTCCTCTCGGGCCATCTTGATGCCCTCTCCCTTGGAAAAGGGACATGCATTCGTTTACTTGTCATTCATGTATTTATCCTTCCTATATTCATCAGCACGCAATTTGGGGGCACCTCCTCGATTCTGGCCCTGCACAAGATCAAAGGGAAGGGATCTCTGCCCCAAAGAGGCCAGGGGTGTGGGCCCAGTGGTCGACAGTCAGTGCTGAATGAAGGTCATTTCAGTGAGGGGGTGCTGTGGAGCTGGTGGGGCCCTGAGGCAGTCTCCATCGCTGTGGACCAGTCAGGAACCTCATCCCTCCACCCAGCCTGTGGGGCCAGCCCCTTTCCGCAGCCCGCCTCCCTGGCCTGGCCTCACGGGCATGGGGCTGCCCATTTACCTGGGTGCTGGGAAAATGCTCCCGGGCCAGTGGCCACCAGCACCAAAGCAGGGAAGAAACGTGCGTACCTACCCCATGACCTCACAACCTTGCTTCCTTGTCCCACATCATGTGGAGTGGGAGGGGGCGCTCAGACCCGCCAGCCAGGCAGTCTTGAGGGGCGGTCTGGGCTAGAGAAGATTTCTGGGCTAGCCGGGCACGGTGGCGCTGCCTGTACTACTGGGGAGGCTGAGGCTGGAGGATCTCTTGGGTCCAGGAGTTCTGGGCTGTAGTGCACTATGCCAGTCGGTGTCTGCACTAAGTTCAGCATCATTATGGTGACCTCCCAGGAACAGGGGACCACCAGGTTGCCTAAGGAGGGGTAAACCGGCCAAGGTCAGAAATGGAGCCTGTCAAAACTCCCATGCTGATCAGTAGTGGGACTGCGCCTGTGAATAGCCACTGCACTCCAGCCTGGGCAGCATAGCGAGACCCTGTCTCTTAAAAAAAAAAAAATTACTAAAAAAAAAAGAAAGAAGACTTCCGGACTCTAAGAAGCAGCCCAGATGGGCCAAGACAGGGGGTGGGAGGGGCTGCCCCGCATTCTGATGCGGCTTCTTTCCAGGACCTGGGAGTGGAGGAGGACGAGAAGGAGGTGAGGACAGTGATGCTGGGCAGCGGGCCAGGTGTTCAAAGACACAATCTGGTTCTGATGTTCTCTTTCAGCAAATACAGTGCCTGGAGCTGGGGAGGAGAGTTCCCGACAGTGTCTCCCCCTCAACTCCTCTCTTTAATAACAGAGACATGTCCCTGCCAGGCAATAACTTTCTCGCCTTGTCTCCTACAGGGAAACCAATGAAAAGGGTGCTGGTGGTGGCTCTCCTTGTCATTTTCCAGGTGAGGTTCCCTGCTAAGGAAAGCTCTGTTCCCTCTTCCACATGGCCTCCGAAGCCAGGGTCTGGTAGGGGAGCTGGGCTAGAAGAGACGAGACCCAGACCCAAGTCCACCTGCCATTCATTAAGCTAATGGCCGCCCCCTCGCCATCTGCCGAGTGACCCTGGAGAGCCACAGATGTTCTCTGTACTTCCTTTACTCCATTTAGATTAAAACAAGGGGGAATATAACTTACCACCTTCCCCCTCCTACCTCCAATCTCCCTGCCCAGGAGACAGCAACATGAACCCTGAGTTCTTAGAGAAGAGCTGCAAAAAGCAAACAAGCGTAGGGGGTTTGTACGTGTGTGCGCGTGCCCGCGCGCGTAAAACTCCACGTGTGAGCTGAGAAAATCACCCTGGATCTGGCGATCTTGTTACTATCCTATCACCCCAAAGTTGTCTCTTTCCAACCTTCAGCTAAACAGAGACCCATCAGGCCTCTGGCGGGGAGGGAAGAGAGGATGGGGCCCTAGGGAAGCGGGGAGGGTTAAAGGAGCACATATTTTACAGCAGGCCTGAACTCGGCAGGAGCAAAGAGCCCCACTTTACAAAGTTCTGTTTCTCAATCCAGAAAGAAGCAGAAAGTGTGCCTCACCAAGTGCCAAAGTTAGAAGAAACTGTAACTCGCAAAGTCAGCTTTCCCCGATTCATTAGAGGTGGGAGCTCAGAGTGTGGGTAGGGGAGTCCAGCTGAGGCCAGAGCTGGAGAGGCAGTGCTACAGAATTCGGCTCGTCCCCAGGTCTGGAGGCCAGAGAGGCGGCTTTCCAGAAACTCAGGCCAGAGGCAGGCCCCAGGCTGGGCACTGTTCCCAAAAACCCCATTCCAGAGGCCCCCGGAGCTTGGGCTGCAGCCCACAGCCTGGCCCCACTCCCCATCACCACTCCCCCCTCTCTCCAGGACTCTGGGGGCTGTATTGCTGGCAGCGGAGGCTGGAAGGTTGGGGAGGGGATGAGAACAGCTGAGACTCATTCTTTCCTTTCACTTGGGGAGGGGGTGCTCAGATGGGGCAGGATGTGGTGGGGCTGTGGGCTGCAGAGGCAGTGAGGCTGGGGGAGGGGGATTATAAAACAGGAACAAGGTTCGAGGGGAGAAGGGAAGGCAGGACTGGATGATGGGGCGTGCACTTGATAGTGGCCGGGAGTGCCGCCCTCCAAGAAGGCCCAGACCCCCCTTGTCCAGGGCCCCTGGTCTAAGGCCTTGGGCCATAACCATGGCTGAAGGGGTCTTCAGGGTCCCCAGGCTGCAGCCACACCCAGGATAGGGAGGAGGGGCTGCCACTGACTTGTCATCTCAAGCTAGCTGTGGCCAAAGGAAAGGCTCCTGGACATCACTTTGTCCTCACCCTGTTCCCGAGCAGGACAGTGATGAATCCAGAATTTGGATGTGAAAAAGAGAGACAAGATGCGGTGAATCCCTCCAGCACAAACGGGTAGAAAGCCATCATTGTTGAGCTGCTGAATCTGGTTCCTGGAGGTAGAGCCATGAGCCTCGCGAGGCAGGTGCTCCAGCCCAGCTCCCTGCCCTGCATGAGCCTGTACATCGCTGTGCACAGAGGCACGGACAGGCATGGGCCCCCTCTTTCATTGATAAAATCACAGCAGGCTGCTGAACCTTCACCAGGCCCTGCCGACAGGCTAAAAAAAGCCCCAGCAGCTGAGCCCTGCTGATTGGGATCTGCCGGAAGAGAGGCAAGGAAGAGAGAGGCAAAGAGGTGGAGGGGAGGGGGGAGCGCAGAGGGAGAGTGGGAGAGGAGAGCTGTGCTTCCTTTCAGGGACACAGCTGCTGAGCAGGCCTCGCCCCCACCCCCATGGCCCGTCATCCATTCACAGGGTTTCTGGCACTTGGGCTCAAGTTGCCTGAGCTCCTGCTGGGTGCTAAGAGGGGACCCAGGATTGAGAGTTCTCTGTCACCCACCACCCATGATCACAGCAGTTCACCCCAAACCCAAGGCTTGATGGCCTCAGAATGGGAGCATTTGCCCATCCTCTCCTCTCACTCCAGGCGCTCCTCAGCCTTGACCCCCAACCCCCGTCGATTTTCCCCCTAAAGCTGAGGTTTTTTGTAAGTCCCCTGGAAAACTCCACCACGTTCTAAAGGAGGGTCAAGAAGAAAGACACATGTTCCCACTCTCACGGAGCTTCCAGAGGGCAAAATTAAAGTTCCATGGGGAGGAAACAGTACTGGAGCCTGGGCTAGGTACCTCACAGCAACCATGTGAAGCGGATAGGATTCATCTCCATTTCACAGAAGAGAAAACTGAGGCTGGGGGGGGGTGGCGAGAGAGTTTAACCATCTCAAGGCTCATCTGGCCCCAGAGCCCAGCCGATTTCCAGTCCCCTGTCAGCACAAGTAGAGCCTCTGAGACTTCGCAAAATCAGCCACTTGCTACTTATTAGCAGAACTGTAGAATCTCAGGCCCCACCTCAGCCTACTCATTCAGGATAAGCATGTACACGAGATTAACCAGCTGATTCGTATTGGAGCTAACATTTGGGAAGCACTGATTTCAAACCAAAGAATCACCTGGAGACTTTAGAAAAACACAGATTCCTAGGCCCCTCACCTGAGATTCTGGCTTAGAATTCTCAAGTGAGGCCTGAGTTTGCATTCCTAGCAAGTTCACAGGTGATGCTATGATGCTGATGATGCAGACCCTGTGATGAAACCACCGTTCTTCCCACCTGGGCAACACGGCAAAATCCCATCTCTACTAAAAATACAGAAATTAAGCCTGTAGTCCCAGCTACACAGGAGGCTGAGGTGGGAGGATCACCTGAGCCTGGAGAGGCCAAGGCTGAGGGAGCCCTGATCGCACCACTGCACTCCAACCTGGGCAACAGAGTGACAGCATGTGAGAAAGAAAGAAAGAGAGAGAGAGAGAGAGGAAGGCAGGCAGGCAGGCAGGCAGAAGGGAAGGGAGGGAGGAGGGGAGGGAGGAAGGAAGGAAGGAAGGGAGGGAGAGAGGAAGGGAAGCACACTCTAAATTCCAGCCACAGTTGGAGCCACCCAGCTAAACTGGCCTGTTTTCCCTTGTCTCCTTCCCGAAGGTTTGCATGTGTCAAGATGAGGTCACAGACGATTACATCGGAGACAACACCACGGTGGACTATACTTTGTTCGAGACTTTGTGTTCCAAGAGGGATGTGCGGAACTTCAAAGCCTGGTTCCTCCCTGTCATGTACTCCTTCATTTGTTTCGTGGGCCTACTGGGCAACGGGCTGGTCGTGTTGACCTATATCTATTTCAAGAGGCTCAAGACCATGACCGATACCTACCTGCTCAACCTGGCGATGGCAGACATCCTCTTCCTCCTGACCCTTCCCTTCTGGGCCTACAGCGCCGCCAGGTCCTGGGCCTTCGGTGTCCACTTGTGCAAGCTCATCTTCAGCATCTACAAGATGAGCTTCTTCAGCGGCATGCTCCTACTTCTTTGCATCAGCATTGACCGCTACGTGGCCATCGTCCAGGCCGTCTCAGCTCACCGCCACCGTGCCCGTGTCCTCCTTATCAGCAAGCTGTCCTGTGTGGGCATCTGGATCCTGGCCACGGTGCTCTCCATCCCAGAGGTCCTGTACAGCGGCCTCCAGAGGAGCAACAGTGAGCAAGCGATGCGATGCTCTCTCATCACGGAGCACGTGGAGGCCTTTATCACCATCCAGGTGGCCCAGATGGTGATTGGCTTTCTGGTCCCCCTGCTGGCCATGAGCTTCTGTTACCTCGTCATCATCCGCACCCTGCTCCAGGCGCGCAACTTCGAGCGCAACAAGGCCATCAAGGTGATCATCGCCGTGGTGGTGGTCTTCATCGTCTTCCAGCTGCCCTACAACGGGGTGGTCCTGGCCCAGACGGTGGCCAACTTCAACATCACCAGCAGCAGCTGCGAGCTCAGCAAGCAGCTCAACATCGCCTACGACATCACCTACAGCCTGGCGTGCGTCCGCTGCTGCGTCAACCCCTTCCTGTACGCCTTCATCGGCGTCAAGTTCCGCAACGACCTCTTCAAGCTCTTCAAGGACTTGGGCTGCCTCAGCCAGGAGCAGCTCCGGCAGTGGTCTTCCTGTCGGCACGCCCGGCGTTCCTCCATGAGCGTGGAGGCCGAGACCACCACCACCTTCTCCCCATAGGCGGCTCTTCCGCCTGGACTAGAGGGAGCTCTCCCAGGGCCCCTGGGGTGGGGACAGGGAGCAGATGCATTGACTCAGGACATCCCCCCGCCAAAAGCTGCTCAGGGAAAAGCAGCTCTCCTCCCAGAGTGTGAGCCCAGGCTCCAGAAGGTAGCTTCACCCCAACCCCAGCTACCTCAACCGACGCTGAAAAGAGACAGGGCTGATAAGCTAACACCAGCCGGGCAACACTGGGAGGCAGAAGCTACTGTGCCCCCAACCAAAGGCCGAAAGTCCAGAAACGGTTCCCACGTGCCAGAGTGAAGGGCCGAGGAGGATGAGCGCGGGGCTGTGGGGCGGCCTGGTGAGTCCTCTGAATGAACCTTCCTCCGGCCTCCCGGAGGCTCAAAGGCTCAGGCCCCGCTTCCGAAAACCAGGCCCTGTCTCCCAGACCAGAGACGGTGGGGAGACTTGGCTTGGTGAGGAAAAGCGGACATGAACCGGTCAGACGAGCTCTCTGCACCCCTCCCTCCATGGTTTTCTCCACCGTCCTCCAAGCTGGCAGGAACGGCAGCGGCCATGGCGCCCTGCGAGCACACTCACGCCCTCGCTTGGCTTGCCGCGTCGCCCTCCTGGGCTCCTGACTGAGAGCGTGGTGCTTCCCACAGACCAGGCCGGCTGCCTCCGCTGACCAAAGCCACACTCTGGGCTCCAGAGTGGGGACGGCACGCAGTGGCGGCTCCACTGGGGTGGGAGGAGAGGACAGGGGAAATGGCAGGGCCCGGGAGGGCGACAGTGGCTGCCCAAGGCCCACAAGCTTCTTCATTGTTCCTTGTCACAGGGACTGAAAACCTCTCCCGGTGTTCTGCTTTCAACCCGTTAAGAGAGCAATATGTTACTCACACAAATAAAGTTTTCCCTTGAGGAAACAACGCTTTAAAGAAAAGGAAAACAAAAGTCTTTGGTAAATGGCAAACGAGTGTGTCCTTGTTTTGCAATCCCCACGCCCCACCTGCCCATCCCCTCTCCCCTCCTCCCTGCCCTCCCCCAGACCTCGTTTCTTAGAGATGCTCAGAACCACAGGTCGCTCAGGGGTGCTCTGAGCATGTCCACTGACACAGGACCAAGAGGCTGAAAGGCAGGAGGAGGCTAAGGACAGGAGGTCCATCTTGCAAATGCTCTTCCAGAGTTCGTGGGATAGGCCCCACGCCCGCAGCCAGCACTGAACTGGACATGCTGATCTGACTGCAGCTTTGGGAAGGCCAAGTTGTCTGGGTAACCTCGACGCCTGGGGACGCTGCAGCTAGCGGCTCCTGAACAGTGGCCTGCTCACCTGTCTGTCCCAGCTCAGCCCAGAACTAGAGCCCCTGACCTTTTGTCAGCCCTTTGACTCTGAAACCTGGGGTTTAGAGGGAGGGCCTTTCTGTGGGCTCAGAGTGAGATGTTGATCACCATCTGCGGAAGTCTGACCTGCAGACCCTGACTAAACGCAGATGAATGAATGCACTGACTCAGCAACTGGATGAATGAATGCACTGACTCAGCAACCAGATGAATGAATGCACTCTCACACCATTACAGTGTTTCCAGTGGGCTAGGGATGGCCTTGACTGCTTTCAAAGGGCAAAACGCAACCAATCAACCCAAACCGTCTGTCTGTTCACACTTTTATTCATAACAGAGGCTCTAAGTCAACACACTTGTGGATAATTAGCATGGTTAAAAGAGTGGTTATATGAATGATCAAAGCTTTAGGTTCCAGGCCCAGAGTCAACACTATTAACAGGTAATTCCCCTTTGATCTCCCACTGAAAGAACCATCCAGCACAGAGTTTACATGAGGAAGTTGTTAGAGACAAAGGCATGTGGGGCCAACAGACTTAACTGGGAGGCTTTTGCTCCTCTCTATCTTCTCCCTAACTTAACGGACTGGCCAGCCGCCTTCAGCCCGCCCCAGTAAAACCTTTCGGCCTTCCAAAAGGTTTGAGACTATAATCTATAACTTTCCATAGATATTTTCTGTCATATTTTCCCATCCGCCCCAAGCGAATCTCAACATCAAAGACGGCAGCATGCTGGACCAGGGGTCAGGGATGGGGCCCTTTGCTGGCTGCATGAGAGCTGGGACCACCCATCACCCTCTCTGCTGGTGTATGTCACAGTCCCTTCCTGCTGCTACAACAAATGCCACCGATGGAGTCATTTATAAACCGTAGAAATGTATTTCTCACAATTTTAGGGGATGGGAAGTCCAAGATCAAGGCGCCAACAGGTTCAGTGTCTGGTACAGGCTCTCTCTGCTTCTGAGATAGGGCCTCGTTGCCGTGCCTTCTGGATGGAGGGGACAAACGCTGTGTCCTCACATCGTGGAAGAGGGGAAGATCACAGTGAGCCAAACTAGTTCCCTCCTGCTCCTTTATTCATATAAGGGCATTAATCCCACTCACAAGGATGGAGCCCTCATGACCTTATCACCTCCCAAAGCACCCCCCAACCACTTCTCATACCATTGCCTTGGGGTTTATGTTCCAACATGTGAATGTTGGAGAGACACATACATTCAAACCATAGTGTGGATATCAACTGTGTAGGAGCAGAGAGACAGGAGCAGACACAAGCCCCCACACAGGCCAGGTATCCATGTCACTTCATGCCCTGGTGCCCACCCACAGCCGTGACTTCTGCAAGCCAGAGAGCAGGTCAATCCAGCCTGCAATGCACCGAGAGGCGTCTGAAGGACCCAGAGCTGCAATAGCTCTGGACTGGTGGGAATTAGAGGGAGAGCTGAGACACTCACGCAATAGGTGATTCCATCAATTTCCTCAAGTGGAAAGAGCCTCGATGAAAATGGAGCTGCCTGGTAATGACGCCCATTCTCTAATCTCGCAAGCACGTGACATTACCCTCCTCTGAGAGATGCAGTGGGCTGGAAGGTTTTTAACAAGATTTGTCAGCTGGTCTCCAAGCCGGGAATCGCCGCCCTGAGAGAAATGAGCTTGGCACGGACGCAGTCAGTGTGGAGTGGCGTTCACAGCAACGGCATTAAATATTAAAAGGCGCAGCTGCGATTGTGCGCGTGAGCGTGTGTCCAGGGGGCAATGCCAGTGTGCACGTGTGTCCCCAAGGGGAACCTGCCGGAGCGTGTGTGCGTGTGGAGGAGCCTGAGAATGTGGCCATCCTAATGAGCTTACAGATGGGAAAACAACCCTCCGTTCCTGAAGGGGAGGAATGTAACAGCGGTCATGGAAAAGGCAGCTGGACCAACCACACAAACATGCCACCTCGGCTCAGGCCCCGCTCAGGATACATTTTTCTAGAATAACTGGACATCTCTTAATATTTACAGAGAAAACAAAACCCCCGGCAATGTTAATTCCCTTGAGCTGCGGTGTCTCAGAAGTTCTGACCTCGGCTCGGTGCTGGCCTGACCCCTGCTCCCTTGCACGTGGCTCTCACGCACCCATCCTGAGCTTGGGGTGGCCCCTGGGAGGCCGCCCGGGGCTTCTCTTTCCTTTTCTTACCTGCTTCATACATCTGCCCCCTCTTCCTAGGTTCACAGCCATGGACCTTCTCCAGTTACCTGAAGTTTCCTGTTCATTTCACCCCCACGCCTTGTCTCCCTCAGCCTCCCTGGCTGCAACCCCAGGCCAGGCTCAAGGTACTCCCAGGCCTCAGATCTGCCCTTTCGGCTAGAAGTACCACCCCTCTCACATCACACACTTGCAGAGCTCCGAGGGACCTCAAAGATCAGCTGGCCCAATCCCCCAGACACTTTCTAGATGGTGAAACTGAGGCCCAGGGAGAGGAGCTGACTTGCTTAAAGAGACGTTGCAATGTAGGGATATTGGTTAAACTTGCTCTGGGATCCCGAGCGTCTGGCACGGTTGCAGGAGGGTGTGGGGGAGAGTGGAGCCTCTGGAGCTCTGCCGACTTTGAATCTCATCTCTACTGCTTCCCAGCTGTGTGACCTTCAGCTATTGCTCAACTGCTCTGAGTATCGGATTGCTCAACTGCAAAATAGAGAGGATTTGTGTAAACACTTAGTACAGTGCCTGGAATGCTGAATGTGGTGGTGAGGAACAGGGACTTTGTGGCCAGACTGCCTGGTCTGAACCCCGGCTCCACTACCTGGGCTGATTACTTAGCCTCTCTGCACCTCGGTTTCTTAATCTGTGTAATGGGGATATTAATGGTACCTATCTCCTAGGATTGTTGTGGGAGGCGACTAATCCATATATATAAAATACTTAGAAAAACTTACATGTGTGCTGTTGGTACTCTTTGGGAGATGTTTAAGAAATAGTAACTTTAAAAAAAAGTTGCTAACCACAAGGAAACCAAGTTCAATTCCTTAGCCCCATTTCCATCCCCGCAGAATGTGTAACTCAAGCTGGAAGGCAATTTACAGATGAGTGAATCTGGCCTTTCCGTTCATTGTGTGGTGAGTCAACTGGGGCTCGGGGAAGGAAGCAACTCTCGAGAAGTCTCTCAGGAGCTCTTTGCAATGCTGGAACCTGAACCTGGTTCCCTGGGCTCCCAATCAGACCTCTTCCCACCAGACCCTGCTGGGCTCATGTGAACCTCCCTGCACATCCACCATGGCACCCACCAGCCTCATCCTACGCTGTCAAGTTCTTCTCCGGCAGACACCGTCCATCTTGCCCTCTGATCAGGTCCTTAAAGAGAACCTCCTGACGGGGCGATGGATGCAGTAAACCATGACCATGGCACGTGCATGCCTATGTAACAAACCTGCACAATCTGCAGAAAAAAGAGAAACTCCCTTCTCCCCTTTAACTAGTTCCTGTCCTTATCATTGAGTCTGGGAGAATGAATGAAATACAAAAGACATAAGGCGGCGGGCCAAAGGAAATCAGGTAGCTGATCTTTTTAAGATTTTTTAAGAAAGGAAGATGGGCCGTCTTCTCTGGGAATGGTTCTCAGTTGCATGTCTATGTACAGGGTGAACAGTTGGGGGAAACAAAACTGTTGGGGAGGAGTGGGTTTTAGGGAATATACACTGGGGGCGGGACTTGAAGAGTATCTTCAGTGGGTAGATGCCCCCCGCATGCACACACGTGTGTGTGCGCACACACACACACAGGCGCGCACACACGCACGCACACACAGAGCCTCCCCAGGTGTCCCAATCTCAGGCGAGGAGAAGGGGGCTATATTAGCTTTAGAGACAGGTGGGCTCATGGCCTTCTTTGCAGAGAAGATAGTTAGAATTGACCATGTTTCTCTGGTCTGAGACCCCAGAGAAACTCTAGGGAGAATAAAAAAGGTGTGGGGTGGGGGGGCCCTCTCCCTCAACCCAAAAGAGCAACCCTGTCAGGCAAGCCAGCCCTCCTGGTCCTCCCAACCCACGGGAGCAGCTGTCTGAGAAGAACCAGCTCCTCGAGCAGCCAGCCTCACTGTCCCTGTACTTCTCTTGGGCCCAGACAGAGACGCAGACAGAGGTCTGTGTGCAGAAAAGGCTCCCCAGGCCTTTTGCTAGGGAGAGCTGCTCCAGACTAAGGGAATCTCAGCTGATCTCGTGCGAAATCAGAAAGGCCAGGATGTGTGTTCCCCACGGGCTCCTCTCTGTGTCTGTGCGTGACCCAATTCAGATTCCTCTGCCACTGTCAGATTCTCTCCTGCCCATATCACTTTGAGGATGGATATAACCTTATTTATAATCTGTTGTTCACTAACCCCAGGGAATTCGCTGGTTGGACTGTCCGACATGTTACGGTAACCACCACACAGTGTGGCCTCCATGTTCTCATCTCTGGGTAAATAAACATTTCCCCACAGGCTTGGCCAGGTCTAGACTGGCTCTGTTCCTGCACGATGCAATAGGTCCCAAGGTCAGCTATCCGTGCCACTAGCAAGAGGGCAGGTAAGGAGACAGTTCTTGCCCTGGAGTTCTCTTGTGGCTGTGTCAGAGTTTATTTAGGACAGAATAGTTTATATTTGTTCAAAGTAAATACTATCTGACATTGGGAAGCACAACAGATGCAGCAGATGAGATGCCCCCAAACCATTTCCCAGTGTTTAAAAAGAGGCCTGGAAAGGCAAGCTCATTGATCGCATTTGGTTTATGCAACTGCACTCGAGTGACTGAAGCAGAAACATGATCATGTCTGGTGCATTCTGCTTCCCAGGCCCAGAGGGTGTTTTCTGTGGCCCGGCCCAGGCCTCTGGTGAAGCCGGTGCTGGGAAGTCACCTGTGTGGGAACCATCCCTGCCTCCTGCCCCAAAGCTCCAGCGACTTCTCCTACAACTGACTCTCTGGACACCATCTTGCTTGCACTAGAACCTTTTACGCGCCACCTGCCCTTCTCCACACACCCCCATTTCAGGGAGGCTCAGCTGCTGAGGGTGCTATTGGCAACCTCTGAACTTGGAAATCAGGAGGAAGAGAATGGCAAGAATGATGGCAGCTTCGCGCCTGGGCTGCTCAGGGAGATGTCCCTCGGCCTTTTTCCCCAGGGCAAGACACAGGCCTAGACCCCCTGGAATCCTTAAATCCTTTCTCAAAAGCAGAACTGGGATTTTTGTCCAAGGACGATCTCTGTCCAGCCTCCTTCTCAGTGGCCCCCTCCCACCCACAGTCATCAGAGCCGAACCCTGAGAAAACCACAGACCACAAGACCAGGTGAGCTTCTGTTGCTGGGAGTGCCAGGGGCAAAGAGACAGAAGGTATGAGAGATGAGATGTCATGGAAGGGATGGCAGGGGTCACAGAGGCTGGGGGCAGAGGAAAGAGACATTGAAGAGGTGGAGG